CATGTGGAGCTGGAGGATTGAACCGCGGTCCCTGTGCTTTGCCAAGCTTGTTTCAAGTAGGTGCTTTAGACCACTGAGCCATCTCTCCAGCCCCTCCAGGTCTTACTCTTATCCTGTAGTGCAGAGTGTAAGCAACTTTGACGATAATGTACTTCTAAGGAAAATACGCTATGTACTTTATGATTCTTATTATTTGCATAGTGGTTTGGGGAGAGAAAATGAGAGAGGCCTATATTACTGAGATTTAAAAAAAATGTTTTGAGTATTTTTACGTGCTTGTTTTGACTGGTTAATCTTTTCTTAAAGGATTTGAACTAACAATTGATCACCCGCATACACATGTGGTAAAGTGTACCCAACTTGTTCGAGGTAAGTTAGAATCTCTAGTTTGCTGTATAAAATGTGTAATGCAGCTGCTTTGGCCAAAAGTTGAATTGAAATGTCCAGTTGTCTTAAATCACAAATTTTGATAGTAGCTTGGAGTTTTCCTATTGGGATTCTTAGCATTGACATTGTTAGGTGATCTCTAATTAGAGTTAACTTTTTGAAGGTGTTTGGAAAGTCACCAGGCCATATTTAATGGCAGTTTTAAGGAAATCTTGAGACTGAGTAGTCTTACTTTAATCATAAGGTTGATTCCAGGCCTTCTAGATGATCTTTTTCTTTTTGTTTCTGAGGGTTGAATACTAGTTGTGTATTACACTGAGCTATAGGTTATGTTGTGTTGTGTTGTGTTTTTGAGACAGTCTCACCAAGTTGCCCACACTAGTCTCAAATGTGTCATTCTTCTGTATTAGCCTCCCAGAGTATTGAAATTACAGATATATTACCACTATGCCTGCCCAGATAGTTGTAAAAAATTTTTTCTTTGACATAGGGTCTCTGTGGTTTCAGGCTGGCCTTAAACTCGTAGTCTTACTGCTTACTTAGCCTCTTGAATGCTGGGGTTACAGGTATGTGCCACCACAGCCAGCAGAATTCTTTTTCTTTTTGCAGTAGAAATCAAACCTAGGGCCTCAGACATGAATAGTTCACGCATTGAGCTACATCTCCAGTCCCTCTTATTGTGTTTGTTTGTTTGTTTATTTATTTTTGGCAGAACCGGGGATTGAACTCAGGCCCTTGTGCTTGCCAGGGAAGCACTTATTCCACTGAGCCATCTCCCCGGCCCCTTATTATGTTTAAACAGTAGTATCTGAAATACCCAGGGCTGGTGGTGTTGCCCAGTAGCAGAGCACTTACCTAGCATGTGCAGTCTCTGGACACAGTCTCGAAAGCTATACATCTTGCACCTCCACCCCCCACGCACTTGGCACCTGTGTGCATGTAAGATCCTTTAGAGTTTTGTTTTTTTGTTTAAATTTTATTGAGAAACATATACCAGTGAGACAGTTTCAAAGCTGATTAATAGGATAGTATCAGTAATTAATACCTTGTATATTGTTATCTGCTTAGTGGTTATCCATAGTACAAGAAGCAGATGGGATATCCTGTCCAAATACTATTAGTACAAATCTTCTCATTGAATTAAGCGAAAGTAGCTGTGTATCTACCCTAACTATTCTGTATATACAGATACAAAATGGTCCTTCCTTTGTATCCCCTTTTTTTGTTTAGCCCCCTTTAGAGCTTTGTAGAGCAAATTGATAGGGGTTTTATATGAAGATTACTAGTATTTCCAAGTTCTTTATATTTGAAAGGAATTTTTTTTTTTTTTTTTTTTTTTTTAATGTATTTGGTACAGGGTCTCACTGCACAGCTTGTACTTGTAGTGATCCTCCTGTCTCAGCTTCTGCAGCACTGGGATTATAAGTGTGGACCCTTGCGCCTTAGTGCCCCGCTGAGCTATCTTCCCCACCTCTAGGACTGAGATTTTTAAAAGCCTAAATACTGCTGGGTATGGTAGCAACATGACTATAATCCCAGCCCTTGTAAGCTTATTGCCTACAAATTAAAGGCCAGCCCCTGGACTACAAAGAGACCCTAGCTCCAGAAGAACCAAAACTAAATTCTATCAGTTGTGGGTGTACATGCCTGTAACCCCGAGGTCTTGGAAGGCTGAGGCAGGAGGATTGCCATGAGTTTGATGCCAGCCTAGGTTACATAGTGAGTTCAAGGCCAGTTTGAGCTACAAAGTGAGATCCTGTCTCAGAAAAACAAAGAAAAAAAGACAAGACTTGGGCTGGTGAGATGGCTCAGTGGTCTAAAGCACCTACTTAGAACAAGCTTAGCAAAGCACAGGGACCACGGTTCAATCCCCCAGCACCACAT